ACTTTAATGGACAATTTCCATGTAAAACAAAACCAAACGAATAGAAAATTTAAAAATTTTCCACGTGGAAAATTATACCAATCAAACACACTTGAAATCGTTTTCCCTGCAAAACATTTTCTAAGCAAACTTTTTCCCTGTAAAATATTTTTTTTCCACCCATTTTCCACCCTTACAATCAAACGCACCCTTATAGTATTTTTGTGTGGGATTCTTTTGAGTGGGTTCATTCTTGAAATTTCCTTTTGATTGTTCTTTGCGCCTTCTTTTGTGACGGACCAAAAACTGGAGATTTCCCGTCATCAATCACCAACAAAGCATTTTTCCACCTACAATGAATCCTCCACCATACAACAATCAAATCTTAATACAGTTCAAGTCTCAAATAAAAACAGCAGCTACTTAATAGCATTCTTTAAAAAATTCTTGAACATAAGGCTAGTGTTCACAAAAATATCTTTCGAATTAGAATCACCGTAAGTATACAGTTCATTTACAAGTAACGAAGTGGATTTCAAAGCCAAATATCATCCTATAGAGATTGATTTGTTCAATTTTAATGATCGCGACCTTAACTGAAACAAGAATAATATGATGTGTTTGTTTGTATATAATTATGAATAAATTTTTTTCTTATACAATTATGAGTAAATTAATTGAACTAAATGCAAGTTGGTGTATTTAATAGATGACAAGCGTACTAGAATCCCAAAGTACCTTGCAATAATCCTTTTTAATCTTAGTTCTACACTTTGACAACATGATTGAATTTTGACGAATCAACATTCTTATTTTATTTAACAGTCTCTCGAGTAATGTTAAATTTACTCTCATATATGACCAAACTATATTTTTATGATGGATGCAAACATACAAGAGTGCATGAATTTTTATGAATACTTAAAAATTCACATGGTGTATAATAGTATATTTTTATCCCTATTGGATCCTATAATAATTTACACCATGTCGAACCTATTTTCCTTCTTTCGAATACATAAAATAAGCCACAAAATTCATACAATTACCATGCACATCAATCGTAGAAAAAAAGATAATCATGTAAATCATTCAAAATTCAAAGACGTGTTTTCAATGTCAAATAAGTAAAACTAAAGATTAAAAATTCATATTACAAGATTCACCGTTCACCTAATGCAAATAAATCTAGCCTAACATGTTAAGGAAAAAAAAAAACTAAATATATAACTGTTGTTCATCACCCTGAAATTCTTGAATTTAATCTTGAAGTTCTTGAAATTGAATCTTGATGTGTTACTTGCCTACTTTTACAATTAATTCTTCACACCATAATTATGTTTTGAGAGTGGTATATAATCCCTCTAAAAAGTCCCAAAAGATCTCCAAAAATCGTGCATGTCATGGCTCAAACAGAAGTCTCCTGGTTGGAATTGAATTCTCAAGGAAAAGAAATTTTTTTAGCTGAATTGGCTTGGGTGGGCTCTCAGTAATAAACGAGACGGCTGCTCAGGCATACTAAGGGTCGGGTGGCCGCCTGACCTCTATAATTGGACGGCTGCCCAATTATAAAAATTTCTCGAATTTTCCTTTTAACCATTTTCTTCAATTTTTCTTCCATCTTGATCCTCCACGTTAAATTACTTCGATTTTAAAACTTCCAACTTTTACTCAAATGAATATTAGTCCCCAAACTTTCATCCATTGGCCATTTGATCCTTTTTTCTTTTCCAATTGCTTAGAAACGAATCCAAAACTAAAATAGGATAAAATTAACTTAAAAGTAAAATCCAATATTAAAGCAACACAAAAGTTTAGCAAAATGGCCCGAATAAGTGCACAAAAATGCACTTGTCGACTAGAATTGCCGAAATCAAGTTTGACGATGACCAAACTAATTAAAATGCACACTTGCAACCACTCTCACCTAAGTCACATACACCAAGACAGGGAACAAAGGTAACATTGTCTTCATCTTCCCACCGCACTCACCTTATGCACACATCTACATGTTTGGTATATAGTAACGAAAACAACTGAACAATTAAATTGTTCTAATTGCTTAACATTGTCGAGGTTGCCCACACTACCTTACCAAATATGCTGTTAAGGCACTATCACATAACTCTATGGAAGGCAACAGCCGGAGTAAGCAAAGCGAAAGGCAAATGGAGACCGGAAGATGTTCACAGGTTTGAAAAACAAGAAATGAGTAAATGCTAAATAAAATAATAAGAGAATAATTCAAACATAAACACGAGGAGAAAATGAAATCAAACCATTGAGGCTAACTATTAAAAATATAGAAACTACATGTAGTAGATGAAAAAGCAGATTCTAAATAAGAAAAAAATAGCAATGAAAGCTAGAGGAGCTAGAAATAAACACTTCTCCAGTAACTGTGTGTGGAAGTGGTAATGAATGATGCCATTGATGAATGTGCGCTGTCAGGTTTCACATATTAATAAGGAGAAACAAGCAATGTACTCATATTATGCCGCTCTCAGATACAAGCTGATGACACCAGGCAAGAGGCAACAATAACATAATTTCCTCAAAATATTAGCTTGATCACAGCGTAGGACAAGATAGTGTGAAATTATTTGCATTAAGTCAAGCTTCATATAGTTACAGATATGTACATTTTCTGTTTTGGAAAGGGGTACACTCAGATGAGAGAGACGGACATTTCCGGGTTGCTGGGACCACAGAGGTTCACAATCCATCCTCCATGTTCGAAGGCACATCCATAGAGGAAATTCCCAGATCCACCAAAAGATGGTCATTTGTTCCAATGGCTGTTGGTTCACCATCATCCATGACAATGTATTTTTCCTCAGCACGCAAAACTACATCGCCAGTATCCTGAATGAAAGGAGCTTCAACATTTGATTCTGCTGCTCCATCTAAAAGAACTTCAAGGGGGGCGGTAAGACTGGCGTAATCATTAAAATCGAATTTTACTTCCAGAATAGGAATATCAAAATCCACCAAAGAAGCACGTGAAGATTCACAATTTCCAGTCATGTTATCTTTACAGCGACCTTCTACAGCCACATATTTAGTGCATTCAACATTTTCTAGTAGCGTATCAGATGTATTCCCAGATTCATGCCCTGAATCCTGCTCTGAAGTAATGTACTTATCATCAAGGAAGACACTGCTGGGTTCTCTTAGTTTAGTTTCGCCAACAATCTGGCAACTGTCAGTTGCCAAGTCTTCTGCTTGATCAAGTGGAGAATCGATACTGTTACCCATAGAACTGCAATGAGTATCTTCTTTAAGAGAACTGTCTTGTGTACTTGATTCAGATATTTCACTTAAGTGTCCATTATCAAGATACGTCCTACTTTTTCCAGCACATGCAGCACTAGAAGTTGACCCTAAATCATGCAGGCTCTTATTTCCAATAAAATACCATGAGTTTGCAGTAGCTGCAGGGTTTTCACTTTGAACATTTGGAGAAACTACCTCACTACAATAGCCATTCTCGTCATCTCTAAATACAGAAGCTAAATCTGAAGGAGACTGGGTATTGTTTAACTGCTCTTCATCACCGATTTCCTTTTCAGTAAAATCAGGGGCTGCAACTGCAAAAATTTGGGTATAATGTGAAGACTCTTCGCAGCCATTTTCCACTGTGGGGGAGTCCTTTGCATTCAATTGAAGAGATGAAGCATGTTGAGAATGTTGGGTTTTCTCACCCACTCCACTAGTAAATCCAGAAGTCGTTTCAATGTGTTCTGAAGATTGAGTTGTGGCAGTGGACAAGAACCCAGTAAGTGCTGCAGCTAAAGCTGCGTTAATTGAAGTTTGCTTTGGTTTTATGCAAGGAGAATCCTTTAATTGTTCCAAATCATCATTGTCTTCTTCGTCCTCACCGCACAAAAACTCAGGAGCACTAACCACAAGACTTGGGTGAGAATATGGAGCATTCAGAGAATTGGGTGCATTATGGGATAAGTTGGAAATGTTGCTAAAAGATAAATCCTTCTTTTCCAAGTCCGATTCCTCACAAGGCTGATAATTACTTCCCTCATTGTGGAATGAGCTGGAGTTGGATTGACTGCATGAAAATGGAGGAGCAGATATTCTCCCACAATGTGGCAGTCCAGAATTCTGAGAGTTTTTTGCAAATGTTTCCAGTTGCTGCTCTACCTTTTGAAGCCTTGTCTCCATGCTCTCTATGGGCTTAAGTATTTTTTCTTCGAACCTCAAGCATACATCTTCTACTTTACTTAGTCGAGAAATAAGCTGTTCCAAAGCTCTTTCAAGACGTCCCTGTGGCAAGTCTTGCATGTTTTCTGGCTCAACACGTGCCTCTATATTTAGAGCCGATGTTGATGGCAAAAAGTTAGCTGGCTTGGATGCACCCTCATCACCTTTCTGCAACCTCTCATACTGCTGATTAACTGCTGATTCTTTAATATGGTTCTTCCTATTAGCAATCTCAGTTGCATCATTTGTTGGCGACCCAGTTTCCATTTTATCATCCTTCTGCACTTCACCAGAAGCATGTGTGTCTTGTACATGTCTGTTACCTGATTTAGACAATTGCAGAAGCGTAGGGACGAGCATGGCCATTAGGGAACTTCCGTTTGAGCTTCCTTGCTGCATAGCCTGATTTCCTGCATCAGTTAACTCAACAGGGTCCGCATATACATAAATTTCATCAATATACGCACAATCTTTATCCTGAAGAGATAGAAAGCGAATTGTGAGCACTGTGCAAGGATCTGCATCGCTGATTTGTGCTGTAGCCTCGTAGATATCCTGAGGATAAATATCAGAATACCGGACATTATCATCAATGTAAACTTATTTCTCATACAGAATTGATGATGCAGAACATAACACACAGAGATCAGGGAGAGGAGAAAGAGAGAGAGAGATATAGAGAGAGGAAGAAGATTTCAATATTCAATCATTAATAGTAGTCAGCCAAATAATGAAATTCTAGGTTCCTTTTTATAGCGCAAAGGTGTCAAGTCTAAGGGAGCTTCTAATAAATAACAGCTACTCAAATAATAAAATTCTAGATAATCATAACTAATAAATATTTATCTAAATCAAACTATCTTTATTCCTATCAACTAAGAATATCTTCCATTCCCCATCAATTGACCTTTTAGACTTTCCACCATGAAATCACCAAGCAAATTTAAAAATGATATGTGATGTCCCAATAGTAATTGTTGTCAATTAATTGATTCTTTAAAAATGAAGCAAGAAGTACAAGGAGATAGTCTCTCATTTTCATTTGATGGGAAGGCAAAAAGCTATTGTTTTACCTTCACGAGACTAATGATAAGATTATCAAAGTTCCAGAACATAAATGTAAAATAGTATCCCATTTTTTTCGCAAAAGGTAACAAGATTATTGAACATATAAGCAGATTGATAATGTCAATTTTACAAAATGACCTTAACTCCCTTCAAGAGCATCCCTCCAACAATGAAGTGAGTAATGACACCGTTCTAGACCAACAAAAGGGAGGTGATTGCCACAAGACAGGAAATCAATTAGAACAATCTTATAAATGATGGGTGTCATTAGTTTGAATCTAAGTTGAACGATCAACTTCTATGAATTTTCACGTAGAAGTGTTTGTGATCTTTCTATTCTTGCCAATTTTTTTTAGAAAATGAACAAGTAGGTGTTGTTATTCTTAAATAACTTTTTTACTCTTTCGTCTTCTATATAGAGATAAGTCACGAGATTTTTACCCTTTGCATCTTTTATAGAAATAAGTTAAAAAGAGGTACTATTTCAAACTGTACAACATAATTTATGCAACAAGAAAATTGCAAAAGCAAGAATCACAAATGAAGAGGTTATAAATAAGTAAGTCACTGGAACACTATACCTGAACCTTTTTCCTTCTGTTTGTATTGGTAGTCTTGATTGAAGAAAAATCAGTTTTCCCTCCGTCGATGTGGGTTTTGTTTGAGGAAGAACTTCTCCCATCCTCAGGGGCTTTAACGTTTATCCAATCGTCTTCAGTAGTGACAATACTTCCTCCATCTGTTAATTCATGAGTTAGTTCTCCTATGAAACCCACCTCATGCTCTTTGGTAACATCTTCAAAGCCAGTGGTTTGGAGAAACATCTCGTCTCTTTCAGCAACACCACAGCGAACAGTACAAAGGTACTCATTGCTACTCTGAGGAGAATTTGCATAGTATATCTCATACACACGAGCAGTACTTCGAACATAAACTTGACCTATGTCATACTTTTGCATAAAACATACTGCAGGCACACAGATATTTGTCGTCAGTTTGAGAATGCAGAAAGTTCTCAGAGAATGTTGAGTAACTTACTTTGAATATGATTCATATATCCTAAATTAGAAGGAAGATAAAAGAAAGTGTACATGATTTAGAAAGAGCTATGATCAAAGACAAAAGAATGGTAGCACAACTGATGTAACAGAAATTGACTGACTGAATCATCACAGACTTCGGAAGTCTAAAACAACTAGAGTGGGCCATCTCAAAGAAAAGAATTTTTGCTTGAAGTGAAAGTGTCCATGTAAAATGATAAAATTTTCATAAAGAAAGGTTAAAAAGCATGACCCTCTTCAAGTTTTAGGAATGAAAGTATTTTAGTTTTTATTGGTTGCTAAAAATGGATGATATTCATATGCAATGGGTCTCACATTTGTTAATTAATCCTTTTTAGTAATAGCACCTGGTGGACACGGTAATATGGACAGTCCACGAGTCCGGGATTAGTAATTCATCAAATCTTTACTAGCCTAGGAATTAATAAGTCAAGAATTTCTAATTTAGAGTCCTAGTCCATGTGGTAGGTAACTTCTAATTCACATAAGTGTAATCTCTTTTGAAAAGAGCTCATCACTATGAAATTTTGTGATGATTTCTTCTACTGCTTGCTGGACAATGGTAGAATTTGTAATCTATGAGCCTCATATTAGTTAATTTTCTCTTTATACTAGTTTCACATGGATAGCAACGATAATCCGTGAGTCTCAGATTAGTTAATAAATGCATTCTTTATGAGGCTAGGAAGTCATGGATTTAATTACAGAAGCTTCCTATTTGAAGTCCTAGTCCTATGGTAGTGGTAAATTTTATAAATCTAAATATGTAATCTCCTGATTTTGACGGATGACGATCATCATAAGAGTTTTGCAATGATATGATGACATCCTCTTACCAAATGTAAAAATTAAGATGATTCCCCTTACCTTTTGTGAGGCTTCTTCTACCCCAACCACTACTGCATGCTATGATGCTCGGACTCTTTGAAATAGTTGGAGTACCCGTGTCGAACACGACGTGACATGGGTATGGGTATGAGATATGTGTCGGATCCTCCAAGTTTCAATTTGACACTTCATCGTTTTTGCTTCTTCTTCCTTCTTTTTCTTATTATTATTATTTTTTTTTTCCTTTTTACTTTTGTTCTCTATAAACCTAGCGTCGTCGTCGAGAGGGTGAAGAAAGACAGCGACGCTAGATGTTCCTTTCTTTTTCTTTTTTTTTTTTCCATTTTCTTCCTTTTTTTTTCCTTCTCTCTCTCTATATAGGTGGTTTAGGGTTTTGTTTGTATAAAATAAAAATGGATTTCATGTAGTGCTACTTAGTGCTCCACTAAATCCAAATTATAACCAAGTTCCTCATTTTTTATTTTATATAAAATTCAGTAATTCTCATTATTGAAAACTAAACCTCAAAATTCTATTTTATTTGTCTTAACCCCTTATTAAATAGTAAATACCCATTTCCTTTATTGTGAATAATTAAGTTTGGTCTATTCAAAATGACATCCTGGATTAGTAAAAAAATTAAAATTTGAAAGACGTACACATACCCGTGTCCAAAATTTGGACTCTTTTTAGCCATGTCCACGTATCCTACAATTTAAAAAATAAAAGATCCGACACTTAGATATGTACCCGTACCCGATACCCATACCCGAGTCTGAATATCATAGACTGCATAATTCTTCCTTCTTGAAAGGCACTTCATTCTTTTATCAACAAAAGTCGACACTTATAGAATAATCCCTTCCTAGATCATAGACACCAAACTTCAACTTCTCAAAAGTGAAGTCCACAAGTACTGTTCATCAACACCAAATGGAATGTGAAATTTTTTCCTTTCTAAATCCTTAAACTCCATACTCTTTCTCTCTTATTTTTCCATATCTAAAACATTCTAGCCTAATGCTTTCCCCCTACTTTCACCAGCATACTTTCTGAGCTATAAAATTATACACTCCATGTTTCAGTTGTATATTTAAAGAGTCTTTTAATACTCATCCTAAGCCATAAATATCCATAATTGCACGAAAAATGATACAACGTCTAGGCATAATCACATTTTTCATCCACTATATTATTTTGCAGCTAACAGGGTAATCTACTACATAAAAATGGAAGAGAAATCACATTTGATTTCCCAGTTTATGGAGTTCTAGTCAACCTAAGGAAATTATATCAAATTCAAGGGAATGAATCTTAGAGATGGCAACGGGGCGGGAAGGGGGCCTGCTCCGTTTCCTGCCCCCTTTTTGTTTTTATTATATATTTATTTCCAGTTAAAATACAAATTCCAAATTTTAAAATCCAAAGCAAATAATGCTCAAACTAACTACATCAATATCCAAAGCAAGCACTTGAAACAAAAAATGTCCAAAACAAATAATGTCCAAAACAATTTTTTTTATTCTTCACGGGGCGGGTTCGGGTTCGGGTTCGGGGTTCCAACCTGTTCAGGGCTGGGTTTTTTGGCCCATTCGGGCCAAAGCGGGAAAAATTGCCAACCCTAGGAATGATTGGATAATTGGTTTAGATATTTGGATTCTCCCAACTACTATTTACACTCAGGTAGTAACTACTTAATAGGGTAGGGGGGGCGAAATTTTAGCAACGTATTTGATATTTTCATGGATTAAACTCTCTTCTTAATGCCTTATTTCTTATTGATATCCCACGTTAGTGCTCATTAAAATAAGCCCTTCTTCGTAATACTGTTAATAATTGATGTGGAAGCGTTTTGTGAAATTCTTGTAATATGAATTACGTAACAAATAAGAACGATTTGGAATAATCTTGCTTTGTATATATTGAATAATAATTGATGTTCCAAAAAGTGTACAATGCCTTTGTATTTATAGGCAAAATTATTTCATAATCCCATTAATATAAAGAAACTAATATAAAATCCTAATTCAAAAGAAATTAGAAATTATATTCTAATCAATAAAGAAAAAAATCATATTCTAAACAAGAAATAAGAATAAAAAGATAAAACATTTTAGAATTANAAATAAGAATAAAAAGATAAAACATTTTAGAATTAGAAAAGGAAACTAGAAAAGATAAATCATAATTGTAGTAGGAAACTACTAATCATGATTATGTACTAGATCAATCTCTCACAATTGAAAAAAACTCGTCCTCGAGTTTGGTTAAAGAAAAGAAAATCAATCGACAAGAAAATACTCAAAAATTTCTGTAAATACTGATATTGAAAAAATGACCTTTTTTGATATGTTTGATAAACGTCATTACATTCTTCAGTTGCATCTTTCAAAGTCGGCTTTGTTCCTACCATGCTCATTATATTTTCTTCACGAACAATAATTATGAGATATTCCTTCACAGACGAAGTATGATTCGGTTTCTCATCTTTGAGTTCGCTCTCGATAGAGGTCATTGGTGTTATTTTCAATTCTATATACTTCTCATAGTTTGCTATAACATTCGGTGATACTTTCTTCAACACAAAAAATTGGTATGCGGACTCAAACCCTCATCGTCCATGTTTTCTTTATTCTTATGCAATTTTTTGACACTGAAGCTGTATAAAAGGTCTATAAAATTTTTATTTTCAATTTGACAATCTTCTCCTTTGACTCATTCGTAATTGCAAAGTTTAATTTCTTCCTCTCCTGTTCGACACTTCTAATTTTCAACTTGTTCATCCTTAGAGTGTGGCTCGATCTTGGGATTTTCAATTGTAATTTCACCTTTACGTTCACTTTCATTGTCAACTTTCATGTATAGAGGATCAATAGGTTTCGAAATTTCAACTTGCACAAGTTTTTCTTTTTCTATTGTAATATCATTGACGATAAAATTTTGATTATCTTGAATTACATCTTTTTTAACCTCATCATCTGCCTTACGAATCTTTTTTCTTTTCGTTTACACTAATACTCACAAATTGCACGTCCCATAATACCAAAACAATCTTCTTATCAAACTACCTAAATACATACCTATTATCTCGACATATTTAAGTGGCATCTACATCATAGTACCATGGTTGTCCCCGAAATACATGACAAATCGTCCATCTCTACCACGTTGCATATAATCTCATCTTTGTAGTAAGTGAAATTTTGCATATCTCTATTTTGAATTTCTTGTCTTTGTGAAGCTTGATAACAAGATGAATATTTTTTTTTAGTCTTCAAATTTAAGGATTTTGCTACTTGTACATAGGGTTGAGCAAAAATCAATTCGAACCATCAACCCAAACCAATCGGTTTAGATTGGTTTTTTAGTTCAATTGGGTTGTGTTCGGTTAGGAAATCAAATTTCAGGTTGGGTCGGCTTGGATTCCGGGTTATCTATTAAAACTCAATCAAACTCAACCCAACCCACTAAATTAAAAAATATTGAAAAGAAAATTAGTATTTAAAACCAAAAACCTAATTATCAAAATTCTCATCTGCCTCATGTCTCTTCTGCCTCTCATTGCTGCTCGTGCATTGGCTTCTCGACTCGATTTTTTGACGTAATTTTTTATTAAACACTTGGACTGAAGAAGGAGGTTTTGTATTGAGTTTGTATGATTTATCATTTTTAGTATTTACGTTGAATTCATTTAATTCAATAAGTATGATATGCAGTTATTCAACATGTATTTAGATTGATTTAATATGTATTTAATTTGATCGTGGTATAATCTATTTAACAGGTTTTACAATATTTTTAATTTATATTGTTCTATTAGAATGAAACTTAACTATGGACCATTGATCCAACTTCAATAAACTTAAGGCTTTTCAAATCACCATTTTTATGTAACTAAAATTCGTCAAAATTGAAATGGTATCAATCTTCTAAAAAAAATTTCAAATTCAACAAAAAATGTCACAACCATTGGGCACATAAAAAATTGCCCGACTTGAATTGGACTCAAATCCAAACCAATCAACACAACCCAAACCAACCCGAGTTTGGTCGGTTTAGATTGGGTTTCAACCGTGAATGGGTTGGTTTTGGTTTAAATTATTGTCAAATCGAACATGTTGGGTTGGATTTGAGTTAGACTCAAAACCAATCCAACCCAACCACGCCCAGCCCTACTACTTGTACATTAATAATGTACATAAGCGCTTACCGAAAATATGAGGAAAAATATTGGATGAAAAAATTGATTGTGTCATTATGTAATCCATTATGTAAATAATGATGTACATGTAGCAAGATTCCAAATTTAAAGCTTTCACTAATACTTTGGACACCAAGTTCTCACTACTCTTATAATTTATTATCACTTTGCACACTTTGTTGTTGATAGTACATCGTGTTCTAAAATTTTGTTGCACTTCAAATATTACTCTCATATTTTCTTGATAGACTTTCGAAGAATCCTTGATAACTTGTGTGTATTTAAATTTAGCTGGCACTCGAGAATATTCTCTAGCCACCTGTTGCCGTGTTTTAAGTTTGTTGAAGCAACCAACATTCATAGCAATTAAAGCCTACAAATTCTTGTCAACTTGTTTCCTTTTAAGAGTCAATGGAGTCAATATCTGCGTGATGTTGATAAGGGTTTCATCGATCCCCTCGATTCGTTGTTCAAGTTTGTCAAGCCTCTGTTTGTCGTCGACGGTTCGACTGCCACCAGAACCATAGTCGATATCAGATTGAGGCAATTTCCTTGATCTTGGTGCGAAAGCGTTTTGTGAAATTTTTGTAAGATTTGGAATAATATTGCTTTGCATATATTGAATAATAATTGATGTTCCAAAAAGTATACAATGTATTTGTATTTATAGGCAAAATTATTCCATAATCCTATTAATATAAGGAAACTAATATAAAATCCAGATTCAAAAGAAGTTAGATATTCCATTCTAATCAATTAAAAAAAAGAAATTATATTCTAAAGAAGAAATAAGAATAAAAAGATAAAACATATTAGAAACAATTAAAAAAAAGAAATTATATTCTAAAGAAGAAATTAGAATAAAAAGATATAACATATTAGAACTAGAAACGATAAATCAAAATTGTAGTAGGAAACAATTATGTACTACATCAATAATTCTCATTTTATCATTTTCATGTATTCGAAGATAAAAGCACATAGCTCACATATGGCCCCTGTTTGGTTTGAATAAAAATTAGATTTTTAGTAGATTTTGATAAAAGTCGGTAAAATGTGTGGTTGAAAATTTGATAAAAGTTAGTGAAATGTGAGGTTGAAAATGAGTTCAGGAAAAAATGAATTGCCACAAGTCAAGGAAAACTCATAAAACACCAACAGGTCCAACAGCCAAGTCAAACCACGAATTAATTTGGTATGTTGGTGTCCTGTACAGCATTGGAAAAAGAAACCAGTAAGCTGTAAAAATTGGGATCTTGAAACCAAGTCATCTGATGTTAAAGCAACATGTGAGTTTGTTTTGGTATCAAATACTAATGGTAGGATACTCCGTTGTTCTAGGCATAAGTTGCAACCGAATTAGTAACTAATTACAATTCAAACTCTAAACAAATGTCAGGATTCTCGTACAATACAAATCTAGAGGGTGAAACTTTGCCGCACACAACAAGACACAGAAAGCAATCTGGAACCAGATCAGAAACACAATACAGCATGATCATAGATATTTTTCACATTCAGACCTTTAGCAATTGTATTAACCCTCTCGGCCTTCCCTGAACTACAAAGTGAATACGTAAAGTAATTATACAACTTTAAGCTATCGTCAATACAGAATTATAGCTTTGACAAATCAAACTGCAGATTTACAGAAAGCCGCTAAAAACTTAGAATGTATATATCATCAAATACCAAAAAAGGAAAATTGATACTACTATATTCCATACAACAAATTTTGGTGAGTCCCGTGCTCCATCAATATTTGTTCTACTTCTAGATTGGAAGAATTTATTTTGTTTTTGACTCTGTAATATACATATTTTTTTTCCAGCCACGGGCCTGCTTGGGAGTTTTATTTTCACCGGTTTTGACCGATTTGGGTGGCACTGTTTATGAGGGTTGGAAGATTCGGAGCTGGCTAGTTTTTTTGGCACCAATTTTGGAAGGTCAAAACTTCGTATAAGTAAAATACTAAGTAAAAAATTTCATACAATAAACTATAAACCGAAAATTTCACTAAAAGAAATATATGTAACTTTATTTTTTTTTTTTAAGTTTCAGAACCAGTGGATTGGACTGTTTTAAATACTACTGCTAAAATCACTCATAGTCTGCTCGTAAATGTTCAAAACCAATACTTCAAAAATAACTCATAATCGGCACACCAGATCTCCCAAGAAGGCCTTGAAGTATATAAATATTTCTTCAGCAAAACTGATTAAAATTTGGCATATAATTTACAAAATTAGAATTTTAATGGACTCGCTTCGACATGATCAAACCCTTGTAATAAATGTACAATAAAACCTATCAAAACCCAACAAAAAATATAATTAAGCAAAAACTCAGCAATAAGAATTTCGCTTACTCTTGATTTCACAAGGACCGGAATCGGGTGCGGGGAGCTCGAGAACAAGAGGCGATTTCCGGGTCGGATCTTGTTGGTCAGAGTCAATGATCGGGTAATCGAACGATTCAACGGTAACAGACGATTCAAGAGAGCCGTGAGCGATGGCCCAGTTGGTCTCGGAGTTCCATGGAGCCATACAACTATTGTTGATGTTGGCGTTGGCGTTGATATGGTGTTATTGGTCGGGGAGACTTGTTTCCCTTTGTTGAATTTGCATTTTTATTAGTACTAGACTGATTGTGTTTATATAGATTACAGGAGTGGCTGGCTGGCTGACTGGATGGATGGAAGAAAATATGAAATTTGGAGTTTGCAGTGTAATGGTTAAGTGGTAGGTTTGAATTGTTTGCCACAGCCAAAGTTCGAGTTAATTGTTTCAACGGTCACTAAACTTTACGAAGTGTCACGTTTCACTAATTGAACTTTAAGTTGCATCCAATTACTCACTGAACTTAGTAAAGTTGCACATCATCCATCATCGGGCTAATTCCGTCAAAATCGATTGCCTACGTGGATGACGGTTTGCACACGTGGCCGTTAAATTACTCCAGTTGACCATTAATCAGCCATGTCATAAATTCCCAACACCCAAACACGTCTCACCCAATTTGATTTTTGAAATCGCGAATGGAACTCTTGAGAGAACAAAAAATCGCAACACTTGAAGATTGGAAAGCTGGACTTCTGCATAGACCGAGCACTAACTTGGAAATAAACCGTCCATTGTCGTCGTAGGCCCCACTTCCACCGCCAGCAACCGTGTGTTCAAGATTTGGTCGGCAAGTCTTGGCATAAGCACGATTTGGTTGTCACTTAACAAAGACTCCCACATGGATCCAAAACTACAATGACTTACAAAACACCCAATAGAAAGGTAACCGGGAAACTGAGTCTGTTGCACCCAGCTACCATAAACAACCCCTCTTCCTTTAACCCTCTCTTCAAAACCCTCTAGCAGTGCTTCTTCTATGGAATTTGCACCTGCTGGTTTTGAGAGGGCAATGAAAAATGGTATCCCTGTCATCTCAAAACCCAGTACAAGTTCTTGAAATTGGTTCTTTTGGAGAACAATTGGCTCCCAAATGCACAGTACACCACTGATTTTGGCTCAAATTGATTTAACCATTTGTCCCATTTCTCTTCAAGTTGTTTGGATGTTGGGAATTTATGACATGGCTGATTAATGGCCAGCTGGAGTAATTTAACGGCCACGTGTGCAAACCGTCATCCACGTAAGCGACCGATGTTGATGGAATTAGCCCAATGATGGATGGAGTGCAACTTTACTAAGTTCAATGAGTTATGGGATGCAACTTATAGTTCAGTCAGTGAAACGTGACACTTTGTAAAGTACGTGTGCAAATCGTCATCCACATAGGCAACCGGTGTTGACGGAATTAGCCCTGTGATTGATTGAGTGCAACTTTACTAAGGTCAGTGAGTGATGGGATGCAACTTAAAGTTCAGGTAGTGAAACGTGACACTTTGTAAAATTCAATGACCGTTGAAACAATTAACTCGCCAAAGTTCGGTTTACAATACATTAATAAGATGATATCTGTCCTCATAGTAGACTTGAGCATGGCCTTGGTTAGGGTTCACTCTTGTACATGGGCATGAAAAATTAGTTTAATAATTTTTACAAAAAAATAACTTAATTTTCATATATTGGTTTGACTAATATTTTCGCTAAAATTTTAGTTAGTTAGCTTGATGAGAAAATTACTCCAATTCTTACGATATAAGTTTCAATTTCAAAAATAAAGTATTAACATTTTTTTAATCAAAAATCAGATGTAACCCCACCTCACCCTTTAAAAAAGGGAATAAAAGAGTTATTTCTCTCAAAAACGTCGCGAGCCACCAATAACCATTATCACTTCATCTCCCACTCCACCGCCAACGGCCTTATCGTGAGATTGATCTTGCACGATCGTCAACTATTATCCTAGCCTTTGAAGTCCACCAAAACTTTCAACGATGGCGAGAACTTGATTTGGGAAAAGCATGTGACAAGCTATTCTGCTCGAAGCTTCTCCTGCAAGTGGTTTCTTCGGTGAATAACAGGTAGTTCCTCCCACCATGCTTGGTTGAGGCTTCTTTGTTGGTAGATGTATGTGATTCCATCGAGTGAGGTCCATTTCCAGATAAGCAGATTGATTGATTTATTGATTTCATCAGGTGAGGGCCATGGATACATTCAGAGAAGTAGATTTTAGGAGCAGTGCCACCAAGTAAGGAAGGATAGTCAAGAAGGCTGCGATTTGGGTAATGGAGGTTGTGATCGTGGGATGGAGGTAGAGGTGGAGATCATGATGGATGAGGTGGTGGTGGTTGTGGACTAGGTGGCGGTGATTGTGATGGTGGGGTGTAGATTGAGTTAAAGGTGGTGGCATAGTAATTAGACCCTACTCGGACATCGACCTAGAAAAGGTACTAGGTCTCGCGTTACTGGTTGAACCAGTGGGTCAATGATCAGACCAGTTGGTCATTGCATAAAAATCTATAAAAAAATAAGTACAAAAAAAATTTAGGCAAAATTTTATTTTTTTAAAATTATTTTTCACTAATTATTTAGGTTTATAAAATAAAGTAAAATGTTTGATCAAAGTTGTTATAAAAATACTTTTAAACATATATATCTGATTCATTAGATACATATAACTTAGTGCACATAAAAAATATTGAAGTACTTTACAACTCCAATGGTGAGAAACTAATTGCTTTACTTGGAGGTCCAAAGTTCAATTCCTTAGACCCCCAAAATCTTAAAAGACAATTTTGAAAACAGGTAAATTGGTCGGGTTAACTCGGTCAAAGCCAATTTTTGAACAAGTCATGTGTATTCCTATTAAATTAATCTACTCGGCCCGGGTCATCGATTTTCTAGCATGATCGATCGGTTCGAGCAGAATTTTATAACTATGGGGTGGTGCTAATGGTGGTGTTTTGGAGGTGGGTGTGGTGTGGATTTGAGGTCGGGGTGAAGTCGATGGTTGTGACTGAGGTGTAGGTTGTCGCGCGTTGGATGTAGAGGTGAAGTTTGGTGGTTGCAAATTGAGGTGCAGGATGTGGTGGTACATTGAAAACATGATTGTAACTCATAAATTGTGTCTTCTAACTATAACTTTGTAATACTTATAAAGGTAATTGGCGTAAAACGTCCATACCTTTGGTGATTATTGTGGAAAACGTCCATACGTTTGATTTCTTGGCGTATAAAGTCCCTACCTTTACCTTTTCTTGCGCAAAACGTCCTTTCGTCCGCAACCGTTAGAATTCACCGTTAAATTAAAAAAAATGGATTTTTATTTTCCACGAGTAAGGGTAAAGCCGTCCAACCACCATAACTTCATAGTACTTCACGCTAAAAGGCTTCATCGCTCAAAACCCAAGTGCTTGGAAGGGAGGCGAACCTGGTTTCCCCATCTCAAGCCTAACCGTCTCTTCATATTCCGTTCACCGCCTTCTCCTCTCCGTTCCCCGCCTCGTCGTTCACCGTCCACGATTTGTTGAAGCCCACAGTGAGACGCGAGCGACGGTAAGAAAAATCATGAAATGGGTTTTTACGATTTCGGAAAAAAAAAATTCGATTTTTGGTTTGATTGACTGTTTTCATTTAGTTTTCTAGTGGTTTATCACTGTTATGCAGGTATATACTTGAAGAAGAAATCTTGCACTGGACATGCTTCGTCCGGTTTTGAGGGACCTCGGAGATGATCCACCCATTTACAGTATGTTCTTCAATGTACCAAATTTCTACGTGCATTTAACCCAACAAATGATGTGCATTCACCCAATTTTTTATGCTGATTCAATTTATGAGTTGTGTGGGAAATTGGGGGTTTTCGATTGTTTCTGAAAATGTTCAATTTGTATGCTGATTCAATTTTTTTCTGGATTTTAATGTTCAATTTCCTACACTTTGCATGCAGGTGATAATTCTCCATACTTCACTTTTGAAGTTCATCATGGCAAAAATTTTTATGCTAAGCCAAACAATTTGGTGTATGAAAGGGGTTTGTATTTTTCATTGATTATTTTCGGTTGCATGGTGCACGAAAGAGAATTTGATGAAATTTTTACGTGTAGTTGGCAATGACATGGTGTTGGAATTCTATTATAAGAAGCAGAGGACGAGTTTAGGAAAGGGATTGACGAGATTGGCGAGCGAAAGGGATATTTTGTGCATGTTTAAAAATAGGGAGGGCCATAGCTTGTTATAAATATATGTCGTAGCCCCCAAGGCAATTGTATGCATTGCCGTTGCATGTGCATGAAGTTGATGACAAATAAACATTTGAAAATTGTTATATACCAATTGTCGAATAGAACCAAGGAGCGGAGGATGAAGTTACTTGGGCAAACAAATTTTTTGATGAGAATGCTGAAAATTTGTGGTCATAGTATGAGGAAAGCTTAGAATACCATCATGGTGAAGGTGCAAATGTGGATGAAGTTGTGATTGAAGATGTCACTAAAGAACAAAGTGGGGGAGATAAAGTTGAAGGGTTGGTGGAATCTGATTACGAGATGGAGCATAAACATGCAACTGCTGCTGAACCAGGGAGTCAACGAGTTAATTTTGATTTCGGATTTGGTACAGCTGATGCACAAGAGGTTAGGGATTCTTATATAGACTATGGAGACTCCGATGATTTAAAAAGCATTCAGAGTGAAGAGGATGAAGGTAGAAGCGGGGATTTTAGTGATGTTTTCAACGTTAGTGCAGATATGGAGGATCCAGTGTTTAGATCAGGTTAGTTGAAGGTTTTCTTTACTACTTATTCTCACTTTTATTGATCTGAAGGTCTTAATAATTTTGTTATACTATGCAGGCTTGGTATTTGAGTTCAAGACCATCTTGAAGGCTGCAATCACTGAACATTCGGTTCGTAGAAATCGAGAGATCAAATACAAGAAAGATAACGCCATCAGACTGAGAGCCATATGTAAGGGGGATTGTCCATCGCTGTTATATGCTACGAAGGAGCATAAGAAGACAAGCTTCGCGATTAAAACTTTAGTCGAAAAGCATACATGCCCCTTGGTGTATAGGAACTTCGGAGTGAGCTCTACCTATCGGCTAATAGGTATTTATCTGATTGGAGGTCTGAACCAAAAATTGTCAGTTAGTACATTCATGGAGAAGGTGAAAAGGGATGGTTTGGGTGACATATCAGCTTGGCAAGTTTACAGAACCAAGGAGAGGGCACTTGAAAAGATTTGAGGTAGTGTGTTTGAGCACTATAGAATTTTATGAGATTATTGCGAGGAGTTGAAGAGGACAAACATCGGAAAAACTGCTTTGGTTAAAGGGTACGCAGGTGAATTCAAATGACTATACATTTGCCTAGGAGCTTTGAAGGCAGATTTTCTTAGGGGCTGTAGAAGGTTAATAAGGTTAGATGGTTACTTCCTGAAGACAGAGCACGGTGGACAGTTATTACCACGTCAACCATACCTGCGATTATTACCATACATAGCAGTGGCGTATGCAGTTGTAGAGGTTGAGAATAGGGATAACTGGAGATGGTTTTTGGTGTTGTTGAAGGATGATTTGCACATGCACGTTAGTGAGCATTGGACATTTATTTCTGATAAACAAAAGGGGTTAGTTAATGCAATTGAGACCTTGTTTGAGAATGCGGAGCATAGAACATGTGTGCGACCTTTATACAACAATTTCAGTGCTTCACACAAGGGATTGTCTTTGAAGAATTTTTTGTGGGATGTAGCCAGAGCAACAACTGTGTTACAGTGGCTTCAACACATGCAGCGAATGTTGGACTTGGACCAGGC